TTATGGGTGATTATGACACGAAGATGACGAATCGGTTAGGGCCTCCATTTTACGATTCTCCCGCGCTCTCCCGGCCGTTGATGCGGGGAGACGCGGGCGGGAGAAAGAAAAACGGGAGATAAAAAATGACGAAGGAATTAACAAGGTGCAACAGAGCTTCACAGAGCCTGAGCAGGACGACGGCTGATATAAAGCTGTTCGGATATCTGATCATCGGGCTTAACCGGCACTCTCGCTGCGCCAAGGATTCCGCTCCGATAATCTGATAAGCTCACCCGCACCCTGGCCACAAGGGGGTCCGGATACGTCTTTTTCGGATTTCGTTTTTTTCTTCTTTTTCTTTTAAGTTTGTCCTCTTTTTTTCGTAGGGATTGATTTGTTCATAGTGAGAGAGAAAAAGATGAAGGAATGAAGTGAGAGAGAGAGAGAGAGAGAGAGAGAGAGAGAGAGAGAGAGAGAGAGAGAGAGAGAGAGAGAGAGAGAGAGACAGAGAGAGAGAGAGAGAGAGAGAGAGAGAGAGAGAGAGAGAGAGAAGAGTTAAAGAAAAAAAGCCGACAAATCCTGTAAGAGACAGCAGCCGCCATAATCAACAATACATTTCACAAAATATATTTTTGATATCACTGAAACATTTTTTTTTTGGGCTTTAGAAAATCGACATTGGTACCGACGCCGAGCATACGCCAGCGACACGCGACGCCAAGAAACTGTCACACTTGAACCTAATCCTTCTCACAACTTCCGACATAAAGGATGATTTCTTTTCTTGCGTCGCTTTTGTGTGATAGCATCCTCTTTACCAAATTTTCCCTCGCTGCATTTCCGTGACGTGTGACCGAAGCTTTAATCTGTGATCTAGACCGACTTGGCTTCGTATGTTTCTGCCAGGTAGGACATCAAGCCAGCGTTGCCAACCTTCATCCAGAATGTGTACACTATTTGCTATATATTTACAACACGAGTATATATAAATGATATATAAAAATAAGATATGTCTCTAAAGAAAACAAAAAAAATCCTAAATAAAATACAACAAACATTCCCAACTCAAAAGCAAAATATTCCAAACGCATAAAAGACGCGCCAAACGATTACAATTCCCCCCGTTGGGAACACTGGTAGCATCGGTAAGAGACCGCGAAGACAAACGTTTGTGGCGGCTGTCAGAGAGCGCCGGGCCACTGCGGTCTTCAAACGGCGCCGATGTCTTCTGTATCTCGACCATCAGTAAGCCATTACGAGATTTGTTGTCGTTTTGATAGCTTGAAATCGAGTGTGAGGATAAGAAGGGGTTTGATTTGCGTTCGCTGCTTGTTTTTTTTGTATCATTTATGCAACTGTTTTTCTGTTGTTGGATAGAAGAGTGATGATTATGATTGGCGATGATAATTGTAATGATGGTGATGATGATGTAATGATTTGATGGTGATTTGATGATGGTGATGTATATAGTGATGATAGTGCTAATAATAATATTAACAACAACCTAATGATAATGATGATAATAATTATGATAGTAATAATGATAATAATAATGATGATAATGATAATGATAATAATAATGATAGTAGTAGTAATACTAATAATGATAGCAGTAGTAATAATAATAATAATGATAATAATAATGATAATAGTAACAATATCAAGAATAATGCTAATAATAATGATAGTAGTAATAAAATTAATAAAAATGATAATAGTGACAGTGATAGTAATAATGATAATGATAATAATAACAACAATAATAATAATAATAATAATAATAATAATAATAATAATAATAATAATAATAATAATAATAATAATAATAATAATAATAATAATAATGATAATAATGACAACAATGATAACAATAACAATAATAATAACAATGATGATAATAATAATAACATTAATAATAATAATGATAATAGCAACAACATCAATGATAATTCTGAGAAGGATGATTATGTAAGGAGAATGATAATTAATGACGATAATTAACTAAAGAACTAAGAATGGTAATGCTGATAATAGTGATGCTGATAATGATAATGAAATTAATGATACATAATAATAATAAAGATAATGATTATGACATTTCTACTACTGCTGCTAATAATGATGATAATGGTAATGATAATAACATTGATCATGATGATGATAGTATTGATGATAATAATAATGATGATGACGATAATAATAATAATAATAATAATAATAATAATAATAATAATAATGATAATATGAGTAATAATAATAATAATAGCAATAATAATAGAAATAATGATAATAAAAATATTAATTATGATAATAATGATAAAGATAATTATGATGATGATAATAATGATAATGATGATAATAGTAATGATAATAATAATGGTGATGATAATAGTAATAAAAATAATGATATAATAATAGTGATAATAATAATTGTAATGATGATAATAATGATAAAAAGATAATGATAATAATGGTGATATTAATAATAATAATGATGATGATAAAAGTAACAATAATAATAATAATGATAATAATGATAATAATGATGATGATAATAACAATAATAACAATAATGATAATACTACTGCTATATTATTTCTACTATTACAACGCCAACAAAAATAACAACAATCATGATGGCCACAATAATGATAATGACCAAAACAGGAATAACTGTAATGATAATTATAGTAATAATGATAATGATGACGATGTTGGTGATTTGGCCTATAAACGACAACAGCAGCAATTGCTAATGATAGACATAATGATAAATAAAAATATATAGCTACAATAATCAGCTCACGTTATGGTCCAGATCAAAGAGTTCAGTCTATAACGTATAAAAAATGAAAAATGTGTTTCTATTTTTAAAATATCGAGCGCGCAGAAATTATATCCGCCATTTTTCTAAATCTCCCGCCAAAAGCTTGTTCGTTCTGTGCGATTTATACCTCTAATAACTTAAGCCGTTAAAAAAATAACTCGGTGAAAACGAGGAGAGAAACGTAGATAGAAAAATGAAAAGGGGGAGAGAAAAAATGGAAAAGGAATCATTTCGAATAATCTCTTTGAGCTTTTAGGTAAACACACACAAAGGCTTTCGGGGGTGAAAGAGGCACCTTGGGTTGCCATCAGTTGCTTTATCCGCTTAATGTAAAATATGGCTTCCGGTTGCTCAATGGAATGGGTTGAAATCTTGATGAGA